GCCTTCAAGACCCGTTCTTCCTTCAGGTGTCAGCACTAGATATCCCCCTCCCCTCACGGCTGCCTGTGCCTCCTCAACACCCAGCCCGTGTTTCTGTCACAACACTGACTGCTCTCTGTTGGATTTAATGTTCTCCTTGTCTGTGCCACTCCCTGTGAACTCCTCGAGGGCGAGGACTGTGTTCTCTGTGTTCCACAACTCTGTAACTCCGGTACAAGCATGGTGCGTAACCGGTGTTCCAAAAATACTCCCTCATTAAATCAATGGAAACAAGGTTCTTATGTTGACAGGTCTGCAGTACTGTTTACAGAGTGTTGTAGGAAAAGGATGGATTAAATCAATGTTAGTGGACTGACCTGGGAATCTAAGTTCCAGTTACAACATGTTTCTAGGTGAAAGCATTCTGGGATGCTCATACTTATTTTCAGCTGCAAAATGTTAGTTCTCCAAAATTCTGAAGGATCCATTGCACTCTTCTCAGATTGGCATAATTCCTCTTGGGTTCAGTGGAGAACCATATGCCCATGGGAGAGAATCTGGCTGCCTTTGAATAGAAGATGTTGGAGCAACACTAATAAATTTCAGAGTGAATGCAATTTGCATATGCAATAACCTATTCCCGTAATTGAGGATTTCCTGAGTGACTGAGAGGCTCCAAAGGTAGAATACATCCTCAGTCATTTCCACACAGGATTGAGTTGTTGCCAAGCTCTGACCCTTTAAATGTCTCAAACAACACCCAAAGATTTTGGGAAGAAAACCTATTCAATTTACTAGTATCATTTCACAACGTTTATAGGTCATGATTTTCTAATGTAGGGGGGATATTGAGAATATGTAGTTGACACATTTTTCTCATGAAGAACACCCTTATTTTTCTTTCCCCTTAAGCATGAATTTTTCAGTAATGATGTAGTACTGGTGGGTTCAATTTAATCAAAGTTTTCCAGGAGCTTTCTTGCTAAAGAGTGAATCACCAGGTTTTCTGGTATATTATGGGAGGAACATCTGTGCATTTTCAAGCTTGTGGTATGCAATGAAACATGCTGTAAGTCAATCAAGTGAGTTTTATTTATTTTTTAGTGTCAGGGTCTTGCTCTGTTTCCTAGGCTGGAGTGCAGTGGCATGATCATGGATGGCTCACTGCAGCCTCAGATTACTGGGTTCGAGCTATCCTTCTGCATCAGGCTTCCAAATTCCTAAGACTATAGGTACATGCCACCACACCTGTTAATTAAATTGATTCTTAATTTTTAATATTTTTATTTTTTTTTGTAGAGATAGTGATATTGCTATGTTGCCCAGGCTGGTCTTAAACTCCTGGCCGCAAGCACTCCTTTTGCCTTGGCCCCTACAAGTGTTGAGATTTTAGATGTGCGCCACTACACCTGGCCAGTGAATGGTTTTCTTTACCAGTCCTTTGCAGTCTCTCTTCAACATTTAGTATCAGCTTCATTTTTTTTTTTTTTTGCTTTTGCACGTTGAACTTTAATGACATAGGTATTTGACATGTCTCTTGAAATGTAATATGTAGTGACTGCAGCAAAATTATTACATAGAAGGGGTATAGGGTAGGTGATCTGGTTGGAATAAAGGACTAGACCTTTACTTTTAAGTTTCATTTGTATAGTGAGCCTACTGTTTGTACATAGAAGGTGTGTTTCTCCCTCATGGTGACTCTAGTCTTCTAGTATCCTAGGTCAAGATCCTTGGGATTATCCTTGACTCATATTTTTCTCACTCTGTGTCTAATCCTTCAGCTATTTTGTGGGGCCCACCTTCAAATATATCCGTAATCACATCTCTTCTCACTTTCATAGCTAGCACCTTGTTCTAAGCTGCCATCATCTCTTGGTGAGATTGTTGCAATCACTTCCTTCCTAACTAATCTCCCTATGTACATCCTCCCGCATATTTACACAGCCATTTTATCTGTGTTCAAGACCCATACATACAGTCAGTCTCCAACTTGTCTTTTGAGTTTCATCTCTTGTTCTCATAATTGTTGGAGAACAATTTTTCGTGGACATTTTAAATGGGATTATGTTCTTGATTTGGCTCTCAACTTTAACATTATTGGTGTATAGAAATGCTACTGATTTTTTTACATTAATTTTTTTTCACGAAGTTTTACTTAAGTAATTTATCATGCCTGGGAGCCTTTTGGTTGAGTCTTTAAGGTTTTCTAGAAATAGAATCATATTGTCAGTGAAGATAGATAGTTTGACTTCTTTTCATTTATCAGATCTAGGAGCCTTTTGGTGGAGTCTTTAAAGCTTTCTAGATATAGAGTGATACTGTCAGGGAAGAGAGATAATTTGACTTATTTTCCTATTTGGATACCTTTTTTTTCTTTCTCTGGACTGACTTCTCTGGCTAGGACTTCTAGTACTATGTTGAATAGGAGTGGTGAGAGTGTGCATCCTTGTTTTGTTCTAATTCTTAAGGAGAATGTTTCCAGCTTCTGCCTGTTCAGTTTGATGTTGGCTGTGGGTTTGTCATAGATGGCTCTTATTGTTTTGAAGTATGTTCCTTTGATACCAATTGTTGAGGATTTTTATCATGAAGCGATATTGAATTTTATCAAAAGCTTTTTCTGCATCCATTGAGGTGTTCATGTCGTTTTTGTTTTTAATTATGTTTTGTGGTGAATCTCATTTATTGATATGTGTATGATGAACTAACTTATACAACCCCAGGACAAAAGCCTACTTCATCATGGTGAAGTAACTTTTTGATGTGCTGCTGGGTCCAGTTTGCTGATATTTGGTTGAGGACTTTTGTGTCTATGTTCATCAAGGATATTAGCTATATTTTTCTGTTTTTATTGTGTCTTTGCAGATTTGGGTATCAGGATGATGCTGGCTTCATAGAACAAATTGAGGAGGAGTCTATCCTCCTCTATATTTTGGAATAGTTTTAGTCGGATTGGTACCAACTGCTCTTGGTATGTCTGGTAGAATTTGCCTGTGAATTCATCTGGCCCAGGGCTTTGTTTGGTTGGCAGACTTTTTTTTTATTATTATTACTGTTTAAATTTTGGAACTTGTAATTTTTACCACTCTCTCTTGATCTCTTTCATAAGCTTGTCTTCCTCTGTCTGTCCCTTAACTGCCACTTGTCCACTTTTAGTCCTCTGGAGTTCTTGCCACCTATTTATTTTCTTGAGCAATGTTATCTTCTCTGAGGTTTTAAGTGACAACTTATATGCTCATAAACTCCCAAGTATCTATTCTGAGCCTAGTTCTTTCTCTTGCTATTCAGATGCATAGGTCCCATTATCTGCTGAACATCTCCCTCTAGGTGTCCCAGGCCCACCTCAAACTCAACGTGTTCAAAAGGTCGTCATCTTCTTTATTACGTTGGGTTTCTGTTCATGTTCTCTATCACGGGGGATGGCACCATCTAGATACTTTAGTTATAAGTTACCCTTGACTTCTCTCTCTCCTTTGCTCTCCACAGCCAACTAATCGTCAAGTTCTGCTGGCTATACCTTTCAAATAGTTCTGAGTTTTGTCTCTCCCTCTTTTTGTTTATTACTTATAATGGGTCGGGTGATAGTTCTTAAAAGATAAGTCCACACCAAATCCCTGGAACTTGTGCTCCTTATATGGAACAAGGGTCTTTACAGATGCTATTGTTAAGGATCTTGAGATGAGATTATACTGGATTTTCTGTGTAGACCCTAAATCCAATGACAAGAGAAAGGCAGAGGGAGAACTGTGGCACAGAGAAGAGGGGAAGATACAGACACATGGAGGAGAAAGCAATGTGGAGGTGCAGACAGAGGCAGTGGTTGCAGTGATGTGGGCACAAACTAAGGAAACCAAGGAATGATGACAGCTTCCAGAAGGCAAAAGAGGCAAGGAAAGATTCTCCTGTATGGGCTTCAGAGTGAGTGCCCTGCCAACAGCTTGATTTTCATTTCTAGTTTCTAGAAATGTGAGATCGTGAGAGAGTATATGTTCCTTGTTTTGAGCCATGTAGTTTGTGGTAATTTGTTATGGCAGCCACAGGAATTGAATGCACTCCCTTTGCCAGTTCAGAAACTTGTCATCCTTGTCTTGGATTAGTGAGAGAGCTGCCCAGTGGTTTCTCTGTCTCCAGTCTTAGCCCTTTTATGTTACATGTTCTATTCTGCACCCAGAATAGTTATAGTCAAAACTCAATTTGGCCCTGTCCCTTCCATGTTTAAATCTGTCTAATTCCCTCCACCTATCATATATTCTCTCTTCTCCTGTAGCTTCAGTGCTTGTTTAGCAGGGAAGCCTTGGCCCGCCTTGCCCCCCTCCCTTTTTTTGGTCACTCCATTGGTCCTGCAAATCCTCAAACATGGATCAATCCCACCATATACTTTCTCTACTTCTACCTTTAGGCTATTGGGAAAACTGATATAATTGTGTGGATTTTTTCCCTCTATACATTCGTAGTCCCCAGTCTCAGGCAAGTCTTCAAAATGGTCCAAAAATCTGGCCAGCTGCCTCTCCTAATTGTCCCCAGTGACTCTTCCAAACCTTTATCATTGCCTTCTAAGCTCTTCCACTTTGTTTTGTGCTGCTCCCATCCTTGTCCTTAATGGGAGAAACTTCAAGGTTCTCAGGGATAAAATTCCTCAGATTCCCATCCCCATCCCCACCAAGTTTCATAGCTTTACCTCAGCTGTCTTCCAGTTTCTGAGAAAGACACATCCCCCTCATTCCTTCTGTATTGTTGACTTTTTCTGTCCATGTTCTTGAAGACTCAGTTTATTATTTCTTCTTCTATTATATTTTTAGCTCTTTCTATGGGATCCATTCCCAGTGCTGATAAACATGCTGACATCTTTTTTGTTTTGAACAATACCAAGTACTCAACACTTTTATAATTATGTGACCTGACCTGTTAAAATGAGAACAATTTTGTAGAGATAAACCAAGCTGTCTTAAAAAGTGATACACCGTCAATTGTCTTTGAAAAGAGTTCTGAACTTTTCTTTTTCTTTCTCTTCCATTTTGATCAAGGAGGAAAACGGACACATTAGAAGACCATGTTGAAAGTCTGCCAATGTTACCGTCTGCTTGCTGATAATGATTTTTCTTCTTCCCTGCCTGGAGGGAAGGGTAAATATCTCTTAATGACAATCCCCCATCCCTGCCAGACTGATATACTCAACATTGGCCCCTCCTGGCCACATCTGCTGCTATATAAAACATGAGTTTGTAACTTGTCTTTGTCCAGCCTGGTCAGAAAATGTGGACTCTCATCATGGTCATACATGGCATTTAAAATATTTTTCATTTTTATCTTCAATAATTTATAGATGGAAAATCCTAGGGTATTCATACTTTCAATTAAATGTAGAGCTTCCTCTTTATGCATTTGCTATTTTTTTTTTCTTTGAAGAAAATGGACTATTCTCCTTTTCATGTCTTGGACTGAATTATTTTCTACCCTTTTCCTTTTCATGCTTCTCAGTTGAATTCCTGTGCAACACGGATTGCTGGCAGTGATGCATTCCAGAGGGTACCACCTAAAGTTTTGAGGCATGTAGCCTTGCCCACAAAGACAGGGACTTGGAGAGGAAAGATGCATAACCAGTGAAAACAAAGGTAGTAGTGCTCAGCTGTAATCTTTTAGAAGTGACAGTATTATATTTATATTAGAATTTTAATTGAAGAAAACCAATGGAAACTATAAATTATAATACAATTCTAATTTTCCTTTCCTCATTTGTTGTTTTTCAGATTCTTGTGTCATGTTATTTCCTGTCACAGATAGAAAGTTTAGAGTTATATACTTATTGTTTCTATCAAAATTTGATTCGATTTTTAAAAATACTTTTTTCTATGACTGAGTGTGATAGACAGAATAATGGTCTGCAAAAGAAGTTTATGTCCTAATCCTCAAGCCTGTGAATCTGTTCGTTACCTTACGTGGCAAAGGTACTTTGCAAATGTGATTAAGTTAAGATCTTGATGGGAGATTATATTGGATTACCTGGGTGGGCCCAATGTAATCACAAGGGTTTTTATGAAAGGGAAGCAGGTAGTTCAGAGTGAGAGCGAGTCAGAGAAGCAGATGTGATGTTGGAAGCAGAGGTCAGAATGATGCCAATGCTAGAAGGAGCCATGAACCAAGCAGGCTCTAGAAGCTGGAGAAGCAAGGAACAGATTCTCCCTGAAATCCTCCAGGAGGAGCACAGCCCTGCTGATACCTTGACTTTAGCCCTGTAAGACCCATTTTTGGACTTCTCTAGAATTACGAAATAATACATTTGTGATGTTTTAAGCCACTAAGTTTGTGATAATTTGTTAAAACAGCAATAGAAAACTAAAATACTGGAAGTTTTAGTAAAAAACACAGCATGATTTTCATTCTTTTAACCTAAAACTTAGTGACAGGTCCTGTCCAGGGAGCATTGTCACTTTAAGAAGCTGTGATAGTCTCATGAAAGCAGCTGCAGTTTTGCTAACCCAAAAGCCTCAAGGACTGACTCATTGTCTTATGGGTTTGACCTTGGGTCCCTCTCTCCCTGCCTTCTTTACTTCCCTCCATGTTCTCTGGCCACCATGCCTGGTCACTGACCTGTACCCAGGCTTATGATCTAGTTTCTCACTATGATTTAGTTAATGAGCCTTAGAATCCTCAGCTTCTCTTCTGTCTGGTTTGAAGTGATGCACATGTCAGTCCTTTTTGGCTTATCCTTCCTGGCCAATGTGATAAGATGCCTGACTTATACATATAGGCCCTCAACTCTTGTTTCGGCAGTGTTCAGATGCATTTGTTCCTGCTTTGGTTTACAGATGTGCCTGGATGTTTGGCTTTGTTTGCCTGTCTATTCATCCATTCTTTAATAGTAACTTTCTGAACAGCTACTCTATGTAAGAACTGGAGTAGAAACTAGGGATGAATAGATGAATAAGATATGGTCTGCATCTTCAATGAGTTCATAGTTCATAGGAGACCAACATAGAGAGGTGATTAGTAAAAGAAAACATAAAAATATGTACAGTCTGCTACTGACCCTAGGGGAGAGAAGATATGCTGGGGTAGTGTGAGCTGGGGGAACTTCCTGAAAGGTGTAGATGGCTGAGTGGGAAGTTAGAAAGAATGAGTAGGAATTATTCAGTGGCAGGGAGGTGTGCATGGGGGATGGTGTGAATGGAGGAGATGGCACAAAGTGATAGGAGTTCAGAAGAGGGAACAAATCAAACAAAAACATAGGAAGTAGGGGAGTGTGAAAAAGAGAGTTGCAGGGAGAAGATGGAGAGGTAGACAGGGGCCAGACCTCAGAGTATGTTGCATGCCCTGGAAGGGTGCTTCAACCCTAGCATTCTGGCTGTTCATCTTGTAGTGCATAAGATTCGTTCATTAAACTCATCAGCCCTGTTCAAAACCTTGGGGATCAGATGTAAACAAGACAAAGCTGCTGACCTCTTGGAACCCAGTGTATCACAGGAGACAGATAACATGAGTAACCACAATGATCACAATGGTAATCACATGGCAATCACAATGAGAGGAGACATTAGGGGTAGCTCACAATCCAGGCTGAAGGTCCAAAAATATTTCCTTGAAGAAGATAAAATATCTGCTCGGGAGGCTGAGGCACCCCCCCCCAAAAAAAAAAAAAAGGAAAGGATATAATCTCTGAACTGAGTCTAAATAGATGGGTGGGATTACCCAGGATTTTTTTCTTTTCTTTTTTTGAGATGGAGTCTCCCTCTGTCACCCAGGCTGGAGTGCAGTGCAGTGGTGCAATCTTGGTTCACTGCAACCTCTGCTTCCTGGGTTCAGGTGATTCTCCTGCATCAGCCTCCCTAAGTAGGTGGGATTACAGGTTCATGCCACCACACCCTGCTATTTTTTTTGGTATTTTTAGTAGAGATGAGGTTTCACCATATTGGCCAGGCTGGTCTCCAACTCTTAGCCTCAGGTGATCCAACTGCCCCCACCTCCCAAAGTGCTGGGATTGCAGGCATGAGCCACTACGCCTGGCCAAGGATCTTGTTAAGGGAGATCTATTTAGCTCTCAACCTCAGAGAATCTTATTGCCTAGGTCTCGGGTAGACTTAAAAATCTGTATTTTACATGCCTACCTAGTAGGTAGTTCTCATGCAGTTAGATTCATAGAAGGGTTAAATTTTTTTGCTTCCACAAAATGAGTCTCACATGTTGGACTTCTATGTAACCTGATTCAGGAGGTTCAAACCATGAATAGCTTCACTGAGATGTGGAAATACTCATGATACTTAAGAAAAACAGTATTGCAATAACTTAGTGTTGTTCTACCCACAACTAGATGGCTCTTGAATGATTCAGAGGGAAACTTTGGATGGGATATATTAGAAGCAGTTTGGGAAGTTCCCTTTGAAAGGTTGAATGATATGAGAACATGCTTCCACAGATGAATGAAGAATGGGTGAAACTTTCTTTCTTTAATTTCTCTACCAGCTCCCATCAACTTCCTGCCTCTGACCCCTAATGCTTTCCAAGAAAATGGGCTCAGCTACTTAATCCTTAGGCAAGGTTGAGCTGAGGATACCCACTGTTCCTGTTTAGAATTAGCTTCTCCGAAAAACTTCCCAGATTCTAAATCATTGCCAACGTACTTACATCTTTTTATTCTAAGATGCAGGGTAGTGTAAGAGAAATGGCATAAAATTTGAAGTCAGGCTTATCAGTGAGTATTTACCTACTTCATAAATATTTGAAGTATTGAATTTCTAGGTACTCAGCAAACAAACAAATAAACAAACAAACAAAATCCTGGTCCTGCTCCATACAAGTTCACAATCTAGTAAGGGAAACAGGTAATATTTATAACAGTGTAGTAATTGAAATGAGAGAACTGACAAGCTACTGTGCACAAGAGATGAGACATTTGGCTAAGCCTGAAGTGAGAGCTTACAAAGAAATAAGCCCTCATTTAGGAGGCTGGGAAGAAATTAGCTGGGAGAAGAAGGTGAGGTTAAGGCACATTTTATTTCCCTCTCTTGTAGCCTTTCTTACCACAACATCTCATAACGGTCTATACACAGTAGATTTGTGGTTTCAGAGAATCATCATTTACATATCTTCATTAACTTCTTACTTGAGTGGAATGAAAAGATCACATAGTACTGGATTGGATGACCCAAATCAGCAGTTTACTCAAGGTTTCTCAGTGCATAATCTTCAAAGCAAAATACATTTATTTATAAGAGCCTTGTCCTTTGAGGCAATACCCTGTCACTGTATCAGCTTTGTTTGAAGGCTCATCAGTGCACAGTTGGCTTTGGAATGCAATATGGGCAGGATGCATAATCATAGGTGTGGTGGTCTATTTAAGACCAGTCTGACTGTTAGAGAATGGTAGATGGCCTTGCTCAGTTCCTAGACAATCACAATCTCTTCCCGTCTCCCCCCACCACATTCTTTTTCTTTTGACAGTTATTTAATACCTGTCAAACATATTTACTAAACACTCTGAGAACCTGAAAAAAATCAAGACTCTTTAAGAAGAAAGAATGCATGAACTTGGACAAAAATGATTAATGTGGGAATGTTCAGAGATTTTCCCCACAGCTTCTCTGCCTAATAAATAGAATCCTCAGTTTACGTGAAGCAATTTTTCTCTCTCTCCAAATATTTCTTTTTGCAGAAGAGAAGCAAATTTGATGTACCTGGTAAAGTTCTCAGAGAGAAAAGAAAGGGCTCTTGTTCTGATGGAAGAAGAAGGCAGTGGAGGAGTGATGGATGAGTATTTCTCTTTGAGGGTTTTGAGGAGAGAGATGCTGAAATACCTCTAGGACAAGAGCAAAATGAGCAGGAGAACAAAAGATTTTAGCAAGTGCTTTTATGCGTTTTCTGTTGGAATTCCTTTGAGTAATATGAGTAAAGCATGGGATTTGTTAATGAGTTTTTATTTATTTTGGCTATTGCACGGTGCTTCTTGGATATGATAGGGCTTTTAGACTAATTACACTATGGGTACATATGCATCCTCATGTGATTCTATAAATACAGCATGTCCTAGCCTACCTGTGGGTTCCAGGTTAAGAATGTCTCTTTTGGGGTCTAGATTACTGAAATAATCTCCAAAGTAATCTTCCCATCACCACTTTTCATCTTCTCTATTTTTTTTGCCATACTATTCTAAAAATACATATTGGATTATGTCATTTTCTTGCAGAAATCCTCTTAATGGCTTTATTTGCATAAGCGTTATGGGTTCCATTGTGTCCCTACCAAATCCTTATGTTGAAGTCCTGACCCCCAGTACCTCAGAATGTGACTGCACTTGGAAACACATTCTTAAAAGTGGTAAATAAAATAAAATGAAGTCATTAGTGTGGACTCTAATCCAATATGACTGGTGTCCTCATAAGGACAGTTAGGACACAGATGGGTACAGAGGGAAGACCATGTAAAGACACAGGAAAGCACTGCAAAGAAAATAATCAACAAAATACAAAAGTAGCTTCCCCTCTCCCCCCGATTCCCAATGGGAAAAAAAATCATTTGCAAACCATTTATCTGATGGGTGGTTAATATTCAAAAATTATAAAGAACACATACAACTCAATAGTATAAAAACAAATAACCCAATTAAACAGACACTTGGGTTGTTTCCATCTCTTATTCCTACAGTAGCTT